ACTGACAGAAAAATTAAAACCCTTAGAACAGACAATGGTTGAGGTTCTGTAACCAGGAATTTGACTCCTTCTGCACTGAACATGGCATCCTAAGACATAGAACTGTTAGGAGAACTCCTCAACAGAATGGGGGTTGCTGAACGAATGAACAGAAACCCTTTTAGAGAAGGTGAGATGCCTTTCTTCACATCCTGCCTTCCTAAGTCCTTTTGGGGAGAAGCCCTAAACACATCGCCATCTTATTAACAGAAGTCCCTCTAGTGTGCATCAGCTTTAAGTGTCCTGAGGAAAAATGGAGTGATAGGAAACCTAATTTAGCAACTTGAGGACCTTTGAATGTGCTGCCTACGTCCATAACAGTGAAGGGAAATTAGATCCCAGGTCTCTAGGTGTGTCTTCCAGGTTATCAAGAGGGAACAAAAGGGTATAGGCTTTGGGATAGAAGTACCCCAGGGTTAGAATAATAATTAGGAGGGATGTAATTTTTAATGAAAATATATTTCCTTGCAAGATTGCTAACCCTGATGCAGGATCAACAAGCAGCAATCCTATGAACCAGGACCAGCCTGAGGAGTCCAAATTGAGGTGGAGTCTGCTGAAATTCAACCTGGATTGGAACATCAGGAAGCTGAAGTAAATGAACCAGATCTGGACCCTGACTTGGATGAGGAAAAGCAACAGAACCTGCTTGAACCCCATTTATGACCTTTGCCCAGTACCAGCTAGCCAGGGAAGAAATAGGAGAGAAATCAAGCCCATCAAGATAATCCTATGCAGATTGATCTACACAGCCCTGGGGGCAGGGGCACAAGTTCAGAGGTCAGAACCAGACTGTTATGAGAAGCAGTTAGATTAAAGACAAAGCACAATGCAAGCTGCAATGAGGAAGAGATGCTGTCCCTTAAGGTAAATGGAACCTGGTCTTTGGTTCCAAATCCCAAAGACCAGAAACTGGTGGAGTGCAGATGGTATTCAAACTGAAGGAAGGTTGACCTCTTCGACCCTCTAGATATAAGGCTAGGTTGGTAGCTAAAGGCTACACACAGCGGGAGGATAGACTTTAACGAGATATTCTCCCCCGTTGTGAATATATAAACCATTAGGATCATGTTAGCCATTTTTGCCATAAGGACTTGGAATTAGAACAGTTGGAGTGCAAAACCGCCTTTTGCATGGGAATTGGATGAAAAAATTTAATGAGACAGCCCAATGGTTTTGTAGATAAAACCTGCCAAACCATGTAGCCTTCTTCACAAATCATTATATGGACTGAAACAGTCCCCTAGGCAGTGGTATAAACGTTTTGATGCTTTTATTCTTAGTGTTGGCTTCAAGAGAAGCAAATATGACAGCTGTTTCTATTATGCTTATAATGATGATATCCTTTGTATTTGCTACTGTTGTTGATGACATGCTTTTAATTTGCAAGTCTAAATCTAGGATAGAAGAGTTAAAGAAAAAATTAAACTCTGAATTTGATATGAAAGATTTAGGACATGCAAGAGAATTTAGGCATGGTCAGATAGAAACAGAAAGATAATGAACTAAAGGTGCACAGATTCATATTTGCAAAAACTGGTGACCAAATTGGCATGACAGGTTCTAAAGTAGTAACAGTACCTTGGCTGGACATTTCATGTTAAGTAAGAGTCAATGTCCCAAACAGAAGCAGAGATTAATTAAAATGGAAAATGTCCCTATGTAATGTAATTGGGTTGTATGATATGCATGAGCACTAGACCAGACCTCTCCTTTGCAATTTCCCTTTAACGATTTATGTCAAATCCTGGCTTTGAGCATTGGTTGCCCTCAAATGGTTGCTTAGGTATATAACAGTACATAAATGTTGGTCTGGAATATGGAAAAAGATTTGACTCACTTGATTTGTAGGTTTTGTAGACTCTGATTTGCAGGTGACAAGGAACAAGAAAGTCAACTAATGCATACTGTTTACCTGGGGGGAATTGTGTGAGCGGAGTCCCAGCTTCAGCAATTGTTGCACTGTCCACCACCGAGGCAGAATATGTGGCTGTCACGGACGTATTCAAAGAAGCCCTTTGGCTCCAAGGGTTACTATCAGAGGTAGAGCTGTGGATGGTACAGTTACTGTCTATTCGGACAGCCAAAGTGCAATCCACTATGCAAGAATCGGTGTACCACGAACGGACAAACATGTTGATGTCAAGTACACTTTGTGGGGAGCTAGTGAGAAAGGAGTGATCACCTGAAAAAGGTACCAACTGAAGACAATCCGCCGACATGGGAACAAAGGTGGTGACTCCGATTAGTTCAAGCACTGCTTGAACTTACTGCATGTCAAATGACCTGCAACAATCGAGCTGTGATAAGCAACCTGTGATGAAACCGCACTAATAAGGTTATTTTTTTTTTTGACTTGGTGGTGTGTTAAAGCTTCAAGGTGGGGTTGTTGGGTGAAGCTTCAACGGGTTCTAAGTGAAACGCTGACGTTTTTGGTGTTGCTTAAGTGTCAATCCTCACATTGATTCTATTCAGATCTGACGGCCATTATTGCTCATTAAGTCAAAGGTATAAAAAGCAAATCTGGAAAATTCGCACAGAAGCTTCGTTTCTTCTTCACGCATTTTACAACAGGTTTTAGTCTTCTGATTTTCTACTCTTTGAACATTGTAATCAGGTTAGATTCTTGTGAATCTTGTTAGCAGAAATTACAGAGTAGTGTTTCTGGTATAGGCTTTCAGTTTTTCGGGTTAGCTTATTGTGATTACAGGGAGGTTTGAGTGATTGTTGTATAAGTGTAAGAGTTGAGAGATTTGGGTTGTGATTGAGTTGTACTTGTAATTCTTTGATCCTTATAGTGCAGTGAGTCCCAATTTGCTTGGAGCTCAACGTGGACGTAGTTTATTCCATTGGAATAAGCGAACCACGGTAAAATCTTGTGTTCTTGATTGTGTTCTTGGTAGTTTAAGCCTTGTGATTCTGTTTGTGAGTGTTGATTGATAGGTTTGAATTCTGTTTCACGCACAACATATAGGATATTATTTTCATTAGTTACACTCCATAGTTTATCAGTTCACTGATCCTTGTGAAGAAGGTTGAGATTATGGCCACCTATAAACTTTTGTAATCCCAAGCACCATACTCTGTGAAACAGACATTCTCTTTTAGTTCTTAGCTAATTATGAATATCATTAATTAGAACAACCGAATCCCAATCGTTTTTTTCTTAATCTTGTCGATTCTAGTGAATTGTGGCAATCTAAAGTGCAAGAAGTCTCACTCAAAGTTTCAAAGATGAGATATTATCTCCATCAAGCGGCCATAGCACTCTTTGGTGGCCTGAACGTGAAGATTATGGACAAGGAGCTTTTTGTTGGTTGCCAAAAGAATTTCGTGAAAGTCCAACTATTTAAGATGGAGTGAGGTGCAGTTTCTAAATTTATGAAGATTTGGATATTTAAATCCTATAAGGATTAAAGATCCTAAGGCAAAATAAGATTTAACTTGCCAACTTTGGTTGTAACTCTTATTAGAGTACTTGAAGATCCTCATCCACCAATCAAATTAGTTACATACACTAATTTACCCAAACCTATTTATAGTGAATCTATAAGCAACTGGTTTCTTCCCAGATTTGATTCTCCCTACTTTCATTCTTTCAATCTTAGGAATCAATGTGATTTCTAGAGCTATTACTTGAGTTCAATTATGGCAAGGGAACTTCTAATATGATAATGACTTACAAAAAGAAAAACAAAGAATAAATGCAAAATTTAGGGTTTATATGCATGTATATTCTATAATATTAGCTTTGATGTTAAATACATCAAAATGTTACGCAATATCCAAAATATTATTATAATATTAAACAACATATCAACATGAGTCCATCAAGAAAATCTTTTTTCCTTAGAGATTGACCTTTTTTCCCTAAGACGTATCATCCTGCATGCCCATGTGATTAATTACATAATCCTAGAACCTCTACATATATTTGTTTTGAATCAAAATTGATAGTTATTTTCATGAACTTTAGTTAATTAGTTTTTTGATAATGTTTTCTTATATCTTAATCAATATGAACTAACAATCTTATATTATACTAGGGCAAATTAACTCTTTCTTTATCTTGTAAGAAATTCAAGCTTCTAATTTCTAAATTAAACTTAATAAATTGCAGAAATTTACTACTCTTGCAATGCTCCAACAGATTTCACAGTTTCCTATCCTAAAATACACAAATACATCCTTACTGTATCATGTTTTCTCTCAAGAGTCATTTGTATATATTAGCTTAATTACTTTCTAACCAAAAGTTTTCATTAATATTTAAGCGAATTACCACCCTCATTTCAAATTTTCATATATTATTTTATGAAGAAATTGTCAGAAACATGTAATTCTTGGTTGCTAGGTTGTTTTCCAAGCATGGCATTTCATTTAGACGAACAAAATACACAAAAACCTTTTCGTGAAATGATAATCAGACAATATATATATATACACACAACCGTAGCATTTAAATGTATATTGCAACTTGAAAACTTGTAGAATATATAAAAATAAAAAACATGAGGGCGATAAATAAACAGCCTAAAGAAAACCTTTAAAGAACTCCCAAATTCTACTATCTAAATAGCAGTAACATATATTATGCTTTAAAATTAAGTAGCAATAAGCACATTTAAAACTCTATGGAATTCTATATAGGCCATAAAATAATGACTCACTCTGCACTTTGCTAGTTACTAGAGTAAGTGAAAATACCATCAATAAATCTTTTTAATTTCGATATTATGTGTATGTGTGGATGGGTGAGAAACATGATCCAATTGGGGAAATAAAGGTATAAAATCATGTGATTAATTATCTTGTTTATTTGATTTGGATGGACCATCAAAATAAAAATGTAAAAAATACAAGCATAACAATGGATTAATGAATCCTTGCCATAATTACCCAAAAAAAAAAAAAAAACCCTTGACGTACGGAATACTAAAGTAATAAGATGAGAGAGGAACCTGGAGCTTGAGTATTCAAAGAGCTTTCCTGTTGTAGAAAAGACCATGACTGCTATTTCAGCATCACAAAGAGTCGAGAGTTCCTGTGCCTTTTTGAAAAGCCCCCTTCGCCTCTTAGAGAAAGTGACCTGCCTTGCCGATGGATTGACGATCTTCTTGATCTCAATTTTCTGCCGCGTCATTTTCCCAACAAAATCAACCGCCCCTTCAAACAATATCAACCAAAAGTATAAGCCAAAGATTTTGTGCATGGAAATTTAGAGAAAGAAGATCCTAAATTTGCAGAGAGAAATTAAAGATTTTGTGTTTGCAAACATATACATCGAAAAGCAAAGAGATGAGCAAGCTATCTAGAGAATTTGACACATTAAACAGAAAAATTTAGAACAATTAATCCTTAAAAAGATTTAAATCCGAGCGGGTATAGCTGTAAGAGAAGCCAAAAAAAAAAAAAAAAAAGAAGAAGAAGGAAGATAGGTTTTTTTCTTTCCTTATTTATATAAGGAAATCAAAGAATACATAACCCATTTAAAGGAAAAAAAGGAAATCCTAACTATTCATTACTCGAATCAATCGAGGAATGGCATAAACGAGAGTAAAGTAAAGCAGTTTAAGAATATTTCTATACAAAGAAAATGTAGAGAAATCTGTCATGCAAAACGAACAAAGAGCAAAATAAGAAATGGGTTTCTGAAAAAGAGAACAAAAAATATTGCAGAAAGGAGGAGAGCATATTTGCAGAAAGAATCTGAAACAAACCCTAAGATAGTAAAGAGAAGGAAGAAGAATAAGATGAAAAGAAAACATCAAGATCTTAAATTAGAAAAGGATTGGGTCAGGCAGAGCGAGAGATATTTGATTTGATTTTCAGTTCTCATATATTATAAAAATCTTACCTTTGTTTAATGTTGTTGGGTGTTGGATTTGTTAACAGGTGACACAAAACCAGAGATAAAGCTACCAATGGATATGAGAGAGAGAGAGAGAGAGAGAGCGAGAAGAGATGTATTGGAGAATGAAAGAGATGAAGTTATTTAAGGAAAAAAGAAAGGATTCCATTTATGGCCGGAAAAGACTACAGTAAACGGTGGGCTCTCTCTCGCCTGTCTTTGCAGAGCTTTTACTGCATTTTGTATTTTCAAAATTTTCCAAAATTAATTTTTTTCTCACATTTAAACATATGTTTAATAATAAAAAAGAATTATTATCTAAAATATTACAAACTTTATTCTATAAAAATATCTAATTTGTAAATGTTACAAAGTTTGCGTTATACATAAAAAAACAAAAAAAAAAGAGTTTTATATCAATGATATAATTATAGTGACATAGATAAAGGCAATTTAGAAAAGCTAAAATACTGATTAAAGGCAGGTCAAATCACAAAATATCTGTGAAGTATAAAAATATTTAAAGTTCAATAAATAAATAAACATCATTTTCCATGAAGAATATATGACTGGAAAAAATATTGATAATTATATATGAGACCAAACAATTGTTATTTAGTAACTAAAATTATGAAACTTTTTAAGTTAATTTTTGTCTATTCTGTTTTTTTTTTTTTTTTTTTTTTTTAAAAGTAAGGAGGGGATTTAAAGTTTTGTCATTGTCAGTATGGAAATGGAATTTTCACTTTTTGAAAATATAAAAAAGTTTCTATATTTATATGGTTAGATTTGCTTTCCGTACAAAGGGCCATGCTCCACAAGTGATCAGAAATTATGACACCTTTGTACCCTCGTACCAATCTTGTCCCCACATCACACACCCTTCAACTTCAATTTCTCGTGATATGAAAAACTTGATGCTGCACAATTAAAAAAATTCACTTTTCCCGAGAATACTATTTTAGTCCCTACAGTTTCAGCAAGTTAAGGACACTCATTTGAAAACTAGTAATTTGGTCCCCTGATTCAACAGTTTATTACTTGACCGTCGAGCGGGTTCGGATACCCAACCCAAATCCTAGGAACCAGAAAGAGAACCAATCGGTTCCAGTTTCTAAGTGCCTGAAGTTGGAACCTGAATTGTAGGCTCCGATTTTGGATATCCGATATTGTTTACATAAAATTACAATACACCTGTATTATTTACAAAAATCACAAATATACTTTGTGAAAATTAATACACTCCTAATAGTTTATAAAAAGTATAAATACATCCCTAATACCTATCGGTTCCATCCTGAGTACTCGGATCTCAGTTCTCATCCGGTTTTGGGTAGGAATCGTAACTAGGACTATCAGACAAGTCGAGCGGCTCGCGAGCAGGCTCAGCTGAACTCGTTTGGAGCTCGACTCGGCTCGAACTCGGTTTATTAACCGAGTCAAGTTCAAACATGGGGAGCTCGGCTCGTGGGCTCACGAGCCTAGGCTGGTTCGCGTATCTTGAATCAACCTCTCTGCTTGAACAATGGTCTTCTCCACATTATTCTGCCACCTCCTCACATTTTCTTCAATCTCTTCCACATTTCTTTCAGCAGCATCAACCTTACGCTCCACTCTATCTTTCGCATCCTTCAGCCTATTAACTTCTTCTCGGAGATTGTCAAAATTGGTATTATAGTTGTACAAGTACATAAATCGACTCCCAATCGGAGCAACCAACCACTTGCCAACTTGGAGAACAACACCCAAGACACTTGAAATATTCCCGACAAGTTCACCATTTTCAACCCTTTTTCAAGTTTGAAAAACAGAAGACAACGAAAGAAAATGAAAATAAAACAGAAATAATAATAAGACAACTAGGGTGCAAACTCAAGTAACAGAACAAGAATATAGAAAAATGTTGAAAGATATACATATATATATATATATAATTTTTTGTAAATAAGGAAGAAAAGATTTTTATTTTTCTCTTTAAAAAATAAAAAAAGGAGCTCGCGAGCCGACGAGAATTGCGACTCGAACTTGATCGAGTTCGAGTTGCAATTCCCAAGCTCGAGCCCGACCCTGTAGTGAACGAGCCGAGCTCGACAAATCGAAAACTCGACTCGACTCGGCTTGTTTACAGTCCTAAATGTTACCGACACCCTGGGTACCCGTCGGTTCGATTCTATCCTAAAAATTTGCTCACCCCTAATTATTAATGGGAAGTCATATTAACTTGGGAACTCAATTGAAAAATAGAATGTTTCTCAAAGTATCTCGGGGAATAGATTTATTCTAAAATGTAAGCACTTGTCGCACCAAAAGCCCTTTTCTTAACTTAAAAACTCAATAACCAACTAATAGGGTTTTATTAATCAATCAATCAATAGAAATCGATAGCATTTTTATCAAATAGATTTTATTTTGTTTATAGACTCTCTTTGATAGAAACTGATGTGAATCCACCTTCAAAACAACCTATTAACCTCCATATGGGCCAAGCAAAGTTCATGAGAGGAGCTATTCATGGTCCTATAAGCATTTCGACCCAAGTTGTAAAAATAAAACAAGGCAAGTGCAAAGGCTTGACCCAAGGAAAAAAGGCTATGCTAGTTGAGCTCATCTGTTCCAAAACAAGTCCAATACATCCCTGTGGCCCAATCCCATCATTTCGTTGCAACTTAATCTTGTCGGAGCCAAGTATCCAAATTGGAAGGGAAAGTTCAATTGGTATTCAAAATGTTAGCACATGGGAGAGCAAGAAGTTCAAGGAGACAAACCATGACAAGGGTGGCTCAAGGCTTTCCATATTCGGCAAGGACAAACCATGACATTCTTGGGTGTTCCCTCCCTCTTTGGGAAAGTCAAAGAATTTTGTTGTTTTCAACTTGCTTAGCTTAGGGACACTTAGAGTAGCCTTTTCAATTTTTCATTATGTCCCATGTTGTTGTATTTTGTAATTTTGAATTGATATCTCTTTGTTTGACTCCACATGTAAGGCCATACATAAGGCCGAATTTTCCTTGTATTGGAGCAGACATGGTGAATGAAATTTGAAATCTCTTGAGAGAGAGTTTACCCTTATTCATTTATCCAAGTTTTTGTCAAGTTTGGTGATGGATTTCAAAACCGGTGGTCTTGTCTTTACATTTTGGAGACGCTTTGCCGGTGGCTTTGCCTTTACGTCTTGGGAGGGCTTTATCTTTATTTTCGTTTGTAAGTGTTGTTGTTGTGTTATTTGTATTGTTAGTGTCATTTCCAGTGTTATTTGGCATTGTCGAATTTGCCTTATTTTGTTGTTTGAGATAGTTTTGGTGTAGTTGATTGGAGTTGGAGTATTTGTGTTGTGTTTGTTCTGTTGTAAACATTTGGAGAGTGCTTGTAGGTCATTTTAATACGTTTGTGGGCTGTTTTGTTTTGTTGAGGTGTGTTGTTGGAGGTTTGAAGTAGTTTGTAACAAATTGTGTAGTTTGTGTTGTTTTGGACTAAATTAACTTTGAAAACACTTCCAAAACTAATAAAAGTCATTGATTGAAACCAGTACAGATTGAATCCTAAATCAAAATAAACAATATCTGATCTATTAGGTGGTATTTAGTTGAAAAATAGTAATTTGGTCTAATCGGTGTGTAAAATTTTTAATTAAGACTATTTTTTGACCGATTTTTACTTTTGAGCTAGTCTCAACTCACACCTAAAAAATATTTATTTAATATACTTTCTATTAGTAGTTTACTTAGAAATTATCCTGAAATAAAAAAACTACCCTTCTAAAATAATGAAAAATGCATTACACAAACTATGTAATATGTTTATTAATTAAATTGAAAGGAAATGGTTTGAATTTACATTAGTATTATTTGTACAATGCATTTTTATTATTTTTTATAGGGGCAATTTCCTTATATTAGTGTAATTTTATTCAACTAACAATTCATTAAGTTAAAGGAACAAAATTCAAGTATTTGAAATGGGTATCCTTAACGTTATTGACCTAATTATTTTCTCTTTCACACGTAAGCTGCAAACATCATTGCTTATGTAATACATTATTAATATCAACTTCTATGGTAAGTTGAGTTGATTTATTTGTTTCTAGTCAATTATCACAATATTAGAAATATAAAATTAAGATAAAATATAAAATAAAAGGATTGTTAGTTATATATGTGTTAGATGGGCAAATTAATAGCGTTTTAGACACCTTTCTTGCTACTATTAAAATTATGTTGAATAATGAAAAAAATAATATAAATAACGTGTGAGTTTGGGTTGTTGTAGCTTTTACCTTCATCATATATTTCACAAATTATAATCTAAAAAGTGTTTGATAAACTAATTTGAAAAGTAATATATTTTGTAAATTGATTTAAAAAATAGGTTTGAGTGACTTTTTAAAATCAAAAGCTACATATAAAATATTAATTACACAAATAACTATAAGCATTAATTTTAGATTAATTATTTAAGAAATTACTATATAAAAAAATTGGAAACTAGTAGCCCACCATCTTCAGCGGAGCATTTGACCACATCACCGTCTCTGTTGGGTAGATCTCCAAGCAATCTACCTAATATAAATGTCATTGTGTCACCCTATCTCTATTAGGTTGATCGGTTGAATATCTACCTAATGGAGTCGACAGTGTCGTCAAACATGTCACTAGTGATGGTGGTTGGCTACCACATGTGACCTTGTTGGTTAGTTTCCAAATATTTTTTTAATTTATGACATTTATTTTTAACATATTTTAATAACAAAAAACATATTTTGATCATTTCATATATCACATATCCTCTTCTTCTAAAAGTAAAAGTAATTTAAAAAATATAAAAAAAAAAAAAAAAACACTCTATATGAATTGTATCTAAAAGTAATTATACGTAAAGTAAATAAGGAAAAAGTATAACAATCCCACATGTATGTAAATACTTTTCAATTTAGTTATTTGATAAAAATTTTTGACATTTTATTAATTGACCGTCAGTTGGTTATTAATTGACTTAAAGTGCTCGATTATTTTCACCACTTATAACTTCTGTCTAATTAAATTAAGCTTTTTTCTTGTTTGTTTTTAATTTTTATTATTTAATTTCAGATATATACATT